CAGTACGGCCTAATTCATATGTCTGAACTAAAGCGCTACTTCGAGTAGCAGTTGCTTCGCAGGTCCCGGACATCCCAGCTCCCAGCCAGCCCTTGGACCACGGAACTACACCCAGGTGGTACAACCTGCGCCCTTGGTGACTCAACACCCGTTTTCTTCATATCCTTTTTTTTGGCTGGCTGTGTCTCTCTTCGAGGAGAGGGGGGGGGAGAGGATTCATCTCCTTCCCGCGGGTCTTTCCTTTGCTTTCACAAAGGGATCGTTTCGTTCGCAAGTGCCTCTGAACTTGTTTGACGTGTTACAACCAGACCCGTTAATTTGTCTTTTTTTTTTGTGTGCCCGTTCTGTATTTCTTTCGCAGGATTGTTACTTCCATCAAGAGCGGGCCCGCCACACCCTTCATTTCAGGCGCTTGGCAGTCCGTTTCCCGCCGCACCGCGAGCATGCCACCGTCGCGACCTAGACCGCACTCGTGGAGAACCGTCCGGTGGGCTGGGCCTCAGGGCTACGCTGGAAGGAAGAGCCACGGCCCGAGCGCGGCGCGCCCCCAAGACTGCCCCCGAGCCCTTCCGGGGCAACACTTTGGAGGACCGGAACCCGCAGGAGCCCGCGGCCGTTTACAACGAGGTAGAGCGCCGCCTGCTGTGCCCCGTCCGCGGGGTACCGGAACTCCACCGCCCCACCCACCTGGCAGGCGCCTTGCACCAGGCCCGTATCGCCGCGGACTGGGCTCGCTGAGTCGCGCCACCTCCTGCTGCACCTCCGGCAGCCCCCGCCCGTTGGAAGTCGCAGAGGCCATCCGGGTGCTCCGCGAAGTCCACCCGGATTCGCTCCGCGACCCGGCCCACGAAGAGGCCATGGATACTAGGCCTCCACATCTAGGGGGGGGGAGGTGTGGGGCGCTTGGCCCACCACGCGTCGGCCAGTGTGGGGCACTCGGCCCGCCACGCGGCGACCAGTGTGGGGCGCTCGGCCCGCCACACGGCAGCCAGTCGGCAACTAGCGGGAGGGGCGGTTCTCGGAGACGCGGGTATTAAAATATAAAAAAATCGCGAAAAATGCCATTTTTCATAATTCACGAATTTGAGGTCTATATAGTCCAGAGTATGTCCTCACGAAATATAAATGCTCAATTCGATCTCTAAATAGGAAGTAATGACAATTTGTAAGCGTTGACAGACCCGACTTGAAGCCTAAACTCTGAAATGTAAACGAAATTCAAGCCGTCTGAGCTCTGCAACGGCTCAACCGATTGCAGCCATCTTGGTCTTGTTCAAAAGCTGGTTTCCCGCGCTTATTTTTCCAGTGCTTCAAAGCGGCGTACCCCTCAAAGCCGTGGCGTCATCGATGCCGGACGAAAGGCCGTCACCAGCGCTAGAAAGGCGCTGATTGGGCAAAGAGCGCGCTACTCTGAGGAGCAGCTTTCTCATTGGCCAAGACGCGCGCTTCCTCTCCTGGCTTCCCCAGCGTGACGTCCAAGTCGCTCCGCGGGCTCCCGCGTCGTCTGCTTTCCCACGCTTCGCCGTTCGAGACGCACGTTACATTCGGATTTCTCCACTTTCTCTATCAATTTTTTCATTGTTTTCTTTGTGCTTCCTAGTATTTCGTATGTTCCCTGTCTTCTACACATCGTGAGTGTAAATATTTTGATACCTCCTCTTTGTTTAGCTTTGCTTTTTCCTTTCTGCGCCGTTGTTCTTTGTTTCGTTCTGCGCACTTCGATGGTTGGGGACGCCGGTTTGAAACTCAACACGCAGAGACTAAACAGAAAGAGCAGACGTGCCTAGACCTCCGCATCGAGAAGAACCTTCCGCTTCGCCGATGCGCAAGTCGCTCTACCGCTGGTGGAAGCGACTGGATTAAGTTTGTATTCGACACCTTCGCCGATGCCTAGGGGGAAAACAACTAAAAAAGCCCTCAGGGCTAACCAATACGCCTCGCAAGTGGGCTCATTTTCGTCTTCTGCGCATGAGAAAGGAAGTAGCGGTGACGTCAAAACGGCGAGCCCTGATTGGCTGATCGCGACTCCCTATCTCAGCGTCGTCTGCTTCTTTGCAAAGTCGTCTGCTCGCAACATCGCCTGCGTCTGTCTTACCTTTCCTGCGACTTTCGGAAGTGCAGGTCTTTACGAGCGAGCTCGACTTCGCCTTTCAGAGAGGGCAGACGAAGTAATTCGAGCGGTACGTCGTTTTTGTCTAACTAGCAGACGCGCATCAAGGAGGGAAGTCAAAGGAGTAACTGGCGAGGTGTCCTGAGGCGCCGAGGTTTGTTTGCTAAGAACCGAGGGTGAGCGTGTTAGTGTTCGCAAGTTCCCACTTAAATACTTTTTCCCTCCTTTCGTGTGCGGCGAGACCCCTCATTCTTTAACGGCGTCGGCGGGTTGGCGCAGTTAACGTCGTCTGCTTTATGTCTGCTAGTCAAAGCGATGGCTGCTTTACCTTTCCTGCGTCTGTCGGATATTCACCGCTTTTTCATTGGCGAGAGTCACCGTTGCCTCGGGAAACAAGGAGATAACAAGAGGAAGAAATTGACCTCTTTTTTATCTAAAATTGAGGTCAGCGATCAAAGTATAATACGGGAAGGGTTCACAACGGTCGTGCGGGCATATTCCATTCAGCACGCCAGCCGGTCATGGGCAGACGGTCGCCGAGCCGCGGAGTGCCTGCTAGGCCTAACTGCTGAAGCTTGCTTGGTCGCGTTCAATGGAATCGTGGCCGTTGGAGCTTTTCCCGGGTGTTTGTGGATCCAGCGTTCTTGTTCGTCGTGGTCTGTTTCAAGTACTTTTTACTTTTTTCTTGCTGCTTGAAGTCGGGACGCATGAGAAGCGCACGTAGAAAAATAAACGTCCGTGGGTCGTCGCAACCGCGACGCTGTCAGCCATGCTGATTTGATCGCAAGAAGTGCGTAAGACAGCTTCGGAGCTGTTGTGGGATTTCGTCGTGACCTGCGCAAAACTTACGAAAATTTCGCTTCAAGAATACGAATTTGTTCTCAAGTTTTGTTTTACGCACGTTTTTGGCGTAAGATCGTTTCGTGAATGTGGCATGTGCACTTGCGAAAGTCGCAGGAAAGGTAAGACAGATGCAGACGATGTTGCGAGCAGACGATGTTGCAAAGGAGCAGACGACGCTCAGATAGGGGGTCGCGATCAGCCAATCAGGGCTCGGCGTTCTGACGCTACCGCTACCCCCTGCGCAAGCAGACAAACTTGCTCTCCGCATTGTTGCATATGGGGCTGCTTTCCCTACCCGTGTCTCTTTTTTAGTATGCAATTCTAACCAAAGGCATCCCATCAAAACATTGTTACTTATGCATATCCAAATTTCGAAGTCTATTACCCCAGCTTTGTTTTTTTCAGCATAGGCTTTTGATTCACTTGCGCTCAACCGATTTTCATAAACTCTGTACAATTTTCTTTGGAATCAACTACACTGCAAGCTAAAGCTACTTTTATTATAATATTTAGGTATATAGGACTGGCATTTCATTATTAGGCATTCTTATACCCCTGCCAGACGGGCACCTAAAAGGACCTTTACGCCCTTCAGGATCTTCAAATGACCTTTACGTTCTGCCGTGCCAGACGGCACAAGTAAATATCATTTAGAGGATGTTTACAGCGATTGAACTCCCGCAGCTCGTTCAAACGCATAAAGCACGTTCACGCCTGAAAGATAATATTTCCGCTATATAAATAATTTTTTTAAGTTTTTCTAAAGCAAACAAAATATTAGAAAAAACAAAATGACGAGTTCAGTCGAGTGATTACAACAATGTCTGCTTTATGCCCATGCACAGTGGTTTTTTGGCAATTAGCGGCAACCCTGAGCGTCGCCCGCTCGCTTGGAGGGGCGTTGCCAGGTACCAGGGGGTAAAGGTGGGTGAGGAGGAGTGGCAAATCCCGTGCGCCGACACCCGGGGTCCCGAGTGAACGATCGCGAAAGAGAGCGACAGAACACGAGAGAAAGAAAGCAACGTTGCCATGGTAAACGCGGTAAACGTGAAGAGTGTAAACTCTCAGCAATATAAACAGTGATAATTTAACGTTGTAAACTAAATTCTGAGCTATTCTAACGCTTATAAAAAGCAAGAAAGTCATTACGCTGCATTAACTTCCCTTCTGTCGAAATCTCGGAAATCTGGTGGTTGCGCAATTTCGTATTCCTCAACCGCGCCCAGCCGCGCCCCACCGGCGAAGCCGGGTATATGGTTTAGTTTAGCATTAACGCGAGGCCGTACATCTGCGCGTTATGCAAAAAGAAACCTTCGAAAGGAACGCGAGTATCTTTACACCGGTAAGTTCGTGGATTGTTGAAGTTCACGAAACTGCTTTGATGATGTAACCGTGTTTGGGACCCCGAGGGTCTGCCTGCATGGTCCGCCGCTTGCGGCAGCCAGAATGTATGGGAAAATGGCGGACCTTTTCCTCTAGAGTTAGTATATGATCTCTATGCCAGGTACCCTTGCTCGGTCCTGTTGCTCAGTGCATGCACTCCTTCCCGTTCTTTACGCTTTTGCCCTGTTCAGTTCGGCGTCGTGCTCGCGCTTGAGTTTCAACGCAGTTGCCCCAGTTTGTTCCTTCGATGGATCTTCCTCCCGATGTTGATCCGGCTACGATGGACCCTGCGTCTCGTGTCGCGTTCCTGGTGTGCCTGCGCAACCACCATGAAAGTGGTTTAGCATCGCTGAATAGTTCTTTGTCGTCGATCACGGAGGCTTTGACGTCGATCAGCTCCGACGTTCAGTCTGCCCGACGAGAAGCTAATTTCCTCGAGGAAAGGCTTCTTGCAAACAGCCTGGTCATCGCTGCAGTGACAGCAGGAGAAACGACCATGCCGCGGAGCGTCCAAGCGTACTTTCGGGGTGAAGATGGTTTGAGGAGACGCTACCGAACCTGCCGGAGCCACTTCAAGCAGGCTTTCCGGGGGATGCCGGCGACCTTTCGGTACATTGTGGACGTTTGTCGGCCCCACATGGAGCGCCAGGTCACCCCTATGCGCCCCACTATATCGGTCGAGAAACGAGTTGGAGCTGCGCTCTACAAGCTGTGTTCCAGCGTGGAAGACAGGACCGTCGCCCACTTGTTCGGCCTGGGGCGGTCAACGGTCAACGATAATTACAAAGAGTTCTGCCACATCGTCGTTTCCGAGCTGGAGCGCGACTGGCTCAAGATGATGACTGCCGCCGAACTCCCCGACCACGTCCGCGAGTTCCAGGCTGCCCTGGAATTTCCGCAGGGCATAGCCGCGCTGGACGGCTGCCACTTCCCCGTGTCGCCACCTAAGGTCAACGCCAGCGACTACTACAACTACAAGGGCTGGTAAGTACACTAATTAAAAAAAAAAAGATAGCTGCGTTTAATGGATTTCAGTAGAGTAGATTGTTGGGCTAGTTCGTTTTGGAACTTGGAATACATTTTAGCGCTCAAAGCACAAGGACACAAAGACGAGAATCGCACTGTGGCGTCCGATTCTCGTCTTTGTGTCATGTTTTCAGCGCTAAAATGTATTCCGCGTTTAATGAGGTGGAAATGACGAAACATTACCGAAACACGAGATGCTAGCAGGTGATTGTTAGCTTGTCATTTTCAATAATGTGCCGTGCTAGCTCTGATAATGTGTAAAAATTTTCTTTTTGAATCTACAGCTTTAGGAAAACCCGAAGCCTCACGTATTGTGTGTGAAAAACTGACGCATGCATTGTATTATTTTTCTCCAGGTACAGCATCATTCTCCTGGCCCTTGTAGACCACCGGTACCGGTTCCGGTACGTCAACGTGGGGACGCCAGGGCGGTGCCACGACGCGCACGTCTTTCGGAGGTCGGCACTGGCCAAAATTCTGGAAGGGCCAACGTTTACAACACCAATGGTCACCATCAACGGGACTGCCGTGCCGCCACTGGTTCTCTGCGACCAAGCCTTTCCTCTGACGTGCAACATGCTGAAGCCATACGCACGCAAGAATGTTGCGGGACAGTCTCCGCAGGAGAAGTTCAACCGGCAACTGTCGTCTGCACGTAGGGTCGTGGAGAACGCCTTCGGCAGGATCAAGGCACGGTTCCGCTTCATCATGAAGCGGCTGGAGTGCGACGTGGACAACGCCCGCTTCGTTATACGGGCTTGCTGCACGTCGAATAACATCTGCGAGCACTTCAATGACGGCATGGAGTCCCAGTGGCTCACCGAAGTTGGCACGGAGGCCCGCCTCTACGAGCAGCCAGTCTACAACATGGATGCCGTGGCAGGCAATGGTTCGAGTGTCCGGGACTCCATTGCTGCCTACCTTCACCAGCACTAGAGTGAAGAGTGAAGCAAAAGCCCTTTCGAGTTCCACCGGAACAAAGGCCCTTTTGAGGACCAGCAGACCAAAGGCCCCTTGACCACCACAGAAGAAAAGGCCCTTTTGAGCGCCAGCAAGGGCTCTTCTCAAAGCCAAAAAAATTTGGCTTTAGAACTGACTTCTTTCGATGCCTCCTCCCGTTGTCTCAAATGAAGTTAAACCGCAGTACAGTCACGCCCACTTATAACGGCCGCAGATATAACGAACGCTCGCTTAGTACGAACAAGGGTGGTGCTACCGTCAAAATATACATTGGGGCAATGGCACAGTGTCTCACATAGAACGAACTGTTGCGGCCTCACCACTCGGTTAGAGCGAACGCGAAGCTGTCGGACCCCGTAGTTGACCGAGCCGGCGGTGCTTGGCGCGGTTTCGCTCGACTGCGAACCCGCGGCAGACGAACTTCGCCCACGGAGCGTCCCCCGGACGCTCCTTTGCGGAGAAAATAAAGAAAAAAAGAAAAAGCGCGCGTTGGAAAATGAAAACGAAAAAGCGCGCGCGTGCGGTGACGAAAGAGAAAGTGGCGCCGCCCGCGTCGTCGGGATGCATCCACGTGATCTGCGTCGACCAATCCGGAAAGTTCGGCGCCTGCTCTACCCGCTTTACCGGCCCAAACCGGTTCTCCATTTGTTGCTGCTCCGTTGCCACCCCGGACCGCGGATATTGAGCCGTCGATTCTTTCTGTGCGATGGCACTGCGTTGACATCGTTGCCGCATTCGTGCTCTTCCCAGATCGGGGATTTGAAGGTTGCCTCAACGCGTGAGTCCAAGGGCTTGACTTGCGCCTGGTGCGATGGCGGACTGTATGCCGACCTCTTCAGGTGCTAAAAGGAAAGCAGTCGTCATTGCAACGAAGATGGCCATTGTTAATGAACTTGCTCAAGGTGCAAAAAACGGCGATTTGGTCAAGAAGTACGGACTGTCGAAATCGACCATTTCGACCATTGCTAAGGACAAGGAAAAGATTCTTGGTGCTACCGTGAATGCCAACCCGACAAGAAAGCGCCTTTGGAAGGCGACCTACGCGGACGTTGAGGACGCACTGCTGACGTGGTTCGCTGACGCCCGGTCTCGCAACGTTCCGATCAGTGGACCGCTGATGCTCTCCAAGGCTAAAGACTTCGCCTTCCTTTTGGACTTTCCCGATTTCAGCCCAGGCAATGGATGGCTCCACCGGTTTAAGGCTCGCCACGGAATTGTTTTCAAGGCGGTTGTCGGCGAGGCCGCGTCTGTGAACAACGAGGACGTCGATGCATGGCTTTTCGACAACCTCCCAACAATTGCGAGCTATGCTCCACGGGACGTTTACAATGCCGACGAGACTGCGTTGTTTTATCAGATGTTGCCATTTAAAACGCATGCCTTGAAAGGCGACAAGTGCGCGGGAGGTAAGAACAGCAAGTTGCGGATAACCGTTCTTCTCTGTGCCAATATGGACGGCAGTGACCGGCGGCTACCTTTTGTTATTGGCAAGTCACGTAAGCCGCGATGCTTTGGAAGCTACGTGCCCGTACGCTACAGGAACAATACGAAAGCCTGGATGAGCCGCGACTTATTCGCCGAGTGGCTTGTCGAGTTTGACCGCGACATGGCACGAAAAAACAGGAAGGTCCTGCTCGTGCTGGATAACTGTGCGGCGCACCATGTGCAGCTTTCCTTGAGTGCGGTGACAGTACTCTTCTTGCTTCCCAATGCAACCTGCAAAATTCAGCCCCTGGATATGGGCATTATTCATGCGTTCAAGGTGTGCTACCGGCGGCGCGTCATCCAACGCTTGTTGATCGCAATTGATCGGCCAGATGCCGCCATGCCGGTTCGCATCAGCTTGCTTGCCGCCGTGGAGATGTTGAAGGCGGCGTGGATGGAACTCACCGCGGAGTGCATAGCAAATTGCTTCCGCAAGGCGGGTTTTATGGGCCCAGGCACCGAGGACGCCATAGATCACCCACAGGAAGGCCGGTCGCACGAGGACTTGTGGCAACGCGTCGTTGACACGCAGCTGGCCGAACCTGACGTTGCCTGGGACGATTTCGTTTCTGCTGATGACGACGCCGACATCGCGGAGCCGTGCACTGACGAAGCTATTGTGCGTGAAGTGCGAGCCCTTCCCGACTGCCCAGAGACCGACGAGGACGATGACGAGGATGCTGCTCTACCGCCGGTTGCTGTGAACGCTTCAACCGCGATCGGTTACATCGCGTCGCTTAAGGAACTCGTGTGCAGCAGAGGTCTTGGTGATGAACATATTACCGCGCTGGAAAAATTAGAAACGGCAGTGATGCGATCAGCTTTGAAGAAGCAGACTTGCATCATGGACTTTTTTCAAAAATAAAGTTAACTTTCTTCTCGCTTGCTCTTTTTGCCTGTATTATAGGTGGTCCCCTTACTACGAACTTTGGATACAACGAACAAATGCCGCGTGGCGATCAAGTTCGTTATAAGTGGGCTCGACTGTATTTATTTGAACATTTCTACCATTTTTCAGTTTTTATCTTTTTTTTTTATGTCTGAATGAAGACGGTAGAGTTGTGCACGTTTCAACTTTGATGCCCCATCTGGCAGGGTAGCACGAGACACGGTTTGGGCACAAGTTCCAGGCCGAAGGTTTCTCAAAAGAGAGTTGAAACTTTCTTTTGAGTCACTAACGTAGTACTTGTGTCCACTCTGCATTCCTGTCTGGCCTATCAGTACTAGATGTGGAACTTGCTGGGTACTATTGGTGAGGAGATCAAGGCCTGCGTGTTTGCTCCTCTAAACATAATCAATAGCAGATCCCCTTAGCACCCTTTAGGTAGCCCGGATGAGCACCATCGTCTGCTCCATTGCCTGCTTCAGTGGTCATGCTCAGAACGAGCTCACATTAACAAACTGCTAAGACCGGCAACCAATGGTGTCGCGAGAAATTACATTAGTAGGCTGCTAATACAGGCAATCTTGTAGTTGTATTCACATTGTAAATAACTGTGGAAGCTCTCTATCGCACTCTGCAGTCGCGCACACACAGCTGTGGCCGCCAGTGAACGAGACATAGTTGCGACGTGACCCATACTCTCGTCAAGCTTCGGGCTGTTTGCCGCTTGGGGCGGGTCAGGGATCTACGAATCAAAGGTCATGCGAAGGCCTTGTCTTCTAAGTGGTATTGCTCCAACCCATTTGTTGTCCCCACACCTCGGTGTTTACCCGACACGTCTGTGGACATGCCCACAGGCCTTGTGGTCATGTTCGCCTCATCTTCTGCAATAAAGCGCAGGGTAGTGTAACATACAAATACTAACACGAAACAAAGTCACGTTTATTGTTGGTGCCGGATCTTTCCCGAAAGCAGTTGTCGGAGAATGCGAGCTCGACCCACTTCGGCTTTTGTGCCGAGCTGGGCATATGCGCCTTGCATGCTGCATTCTTCATGCAGGCCGGAGTAGAAACAAAAGAGCCCTTCGTTCCCCGCAAGCAACTGAACACAAACTCCAGCCAAACGCTGACGCAGCGTTCGGTTTCGTCAGCCAAGCGCTGGCTCATTGTTATTTCTCGTCCCCATCTGTGTAGTTCTAAAGTTAGTCACTTGGGGTGTCAGGGTCTGATCTCCTCTCCAATATTAACTGGAGATGCTGGAGTTTCGGAAAGATTCACCCTTCTCGCTCCAAGTCAAATTTGGGGGTTTTACATGCCAAACCAACGATGGGCATCTGGCACGCCCCAGCGGAGGATTGAGGATTAATTTGGACCACCTGGGGATCTTTTGACTATACTGAAAGCTTGGTTACACGGCGCCTCCTCCACAATAAGCCTCCGTCAGATTGCGGGCACCTGGGCCGGGATTCGAACCCGCCACATGGGATCCGTAGGCCACCACCCTCGCCTCGGAGCCACCGAAGTGGCTACCCTTCTCGCCCTGTCAGTCACTATAACAGCAAGACACAGGAGTGTCACTTTCCATAACATTTTTCTTTTGTGTGTGGGTGGGGGGTGGGGGGGTAGTATGAATATTAATGCGTAGTAGAACACTTGGAATTGTGCATGTTAACAATAAAGACATATCAAATACCATAGCTAGATGAATAATTGCTCCCAAGTACAACACAAATGTGCTCCATCCGCTTACTTTGGTGCTTTATTTAGAAAAGCGATCATCGCCGCAGTCAAGTCTTCCTGCGCCTTCGCAGCACGTTCTTGTTGCTTTAAAGCACGTTCTAGCGCTTGCAACACAAGTTCTTTCTGAACGAGCTCCCGCTCTCGGAGCTCGAATTCCTTTGCTCGAGCGGCTTCAAAGCTGAAACGGAGGAGCTTCTGCTCCTCAATTGCTGCCCTAATGAGGGCAGTATTTGGGTGCTGAGCCTTTTTTTCAGAGGCGCCCTCGCTGGCACGGACACGCTGTTGCTTGCAGAGGTGCTTGCAGCGCAGCTGGTGCTCGCGGTGCTCGCCCTCCTTGAGCTTGCAGCCAAGCTTTCTCCTCTGTGCCCGCTCAAATCTGGTGCCTCGAAGCCGACTCCAGCGGCTGCGACATCATGTGAGTCGTCTCCCACGTCCATAGGTGGCTCCTCAAACATCTCGCCATCCTCTGCACCTCCATCCTGCAAACCTGCAAGCAACTGAGAAAATTTCCATACAATCAGATATTCATATTAAACCGCAATTCAGGTATTATAATCCATCTCGCAACAACTTGGCAAACTTTGGAAGCTACACCCTCGTGATTCCACAAGTGCATCGGTGTGAGGCATGTTGCATCATTGAACAGATGTACCATCACTTTCGGGTGCACGGGCATGAGGAATCTGCTGTCATCTTTGGCTTCTTCAACTCCTTTCTTAACTATATGCAATGAACTGACACCCATCCAGTGCTCGCTGAAGAACTACCTGGCCACCACCTTTGGTCAGAAGTCTACCAATTACACCACTGGTTTTGCCTATATTCTGTTTCACGATAACTTGGCAAACTGTGGAGGCTACGGCTCCTGCGACCCAAAAACAGCGTTGGAGCGAGGCATGTGACACTATGTCACGGGAGCGTTTGTGTCACTGTTCCAAAATCAAGACCTGGAGGAACTG